ACTCTGTTAGCCAACCATTTCAAGCTAGGAGTCGAGATGCCCTTCATGCACTCCTCAAGGTAGGGTTCGTCTTTTTCTTTGACTTCTCCTATTTCAGCTTTCTAATGCCTTAATTTTCTACTTTGGCCCTAGGCAGCGACGCACGTTTGTGCCCTTGGAGCGGAGGTCCATCATTTAAGGGAAAAAGCTTGTTGGAGGAGTGCTGAGCTCCAAGAGGTCCGACAACAGGGTGCCAAGCTCCTGCGTCGGGGTTTAACTATAGAATCCGAGTTGGAAGCTACTCTCGATCAAAGAGCTCAAGTTTTTCGATAGCTTATCACCACTGCCACTTCCGAGATCTCTCTGCGGGAACTACTGAGAACCCAATCAGAAGAATTGGCCTAGGATTTCAACATCCAAGAAGACGAGTTGATCTCCTTTGAACTAACAAGGCAGTGCTGACGGTGCAACTGAGAGAATCTCGTGTAGTGATTGCAGACCTGAATAACTCTTTGGTTGTTGAGCGCCGGTTGGTCGAGGATCAATGCAAGGAAATTGAGAAGGCCAGGATAAAGGCTGCCAAGGCATTTGTAGATGGATTCTTTAACTTCGTAGATTAGGTGATCGAGAAGTTTCCTGACCTTGACCTCAATCAATTTAAGCCTCGATTTGACCTTCCTCCTAGTGACCTTTTTGTTGCTGCTCCGCCAACCAGCCAACCTTGATTTTTGTTTTGAAAGTGTAACTCTTCTTATTTGCTAAAAATGAAGAACACTTAACTTGTTTCTTATATTGCTAATTGCTTGATGTGTTCTCCCCTTGCCCCTACTCCAAGGAGGTTTTGACCTTGTTGGAGTATGGTTGTTACTTTGCCCACCATGCTCGATCTCCACAATCTTGTGTTGTGTAATCGTGAGCTGTGCTAAACCAAGCTGTGTGAATTTGGGCTCTTTGGTTATTGCTATCTCTGCCTGGCTATTCTTTTTTGTTGGTGTAGTACATTTTTAAATCGTAGTGTACAAATTCAGGTGAAGAGCAATAACTTGTTCATTATTCGTGCCCACGTAACTCCGCCTAACCTTAATGTGCTCCGTCTTCATTAACTTCTGCCATGATTGCAGGAATATAACAGTCGTCTGCCCACTTTCCCTAATTATCTACCTCCCTATATTTTGGAGTCTTTTATCTCCTGCATTTCTGATTTTTCTGAAGGGTCTCTTGTGCATTTTGCTTATTCTTGGGTTTAATGGCTTCCCTTCCTACTCCTTTGTTCAAATAGAGGGCTCAAGCTATGTTTGATGTAACTTGGTACTCGGTGTTTCTACTTCCCTTTGTTTTTACTACTTTGAAGGCAAAGGAGTTCAAAAAACAGTATCACCTTCCTGGTGGCTTGGCTATCCAAATTCCCTTGATAGACGAGCCTTACAACTTCCTCCTTCGTTGGGAAGTTTGTTTCTTTGAAAGTGCGTTTGAGATGGATCTACGTTTGCCCATCCATCCAGCCATTAGGTGAGTTCTTGCCCATTTCGGGTTGTGCCCTTCTTGCCACTCTCCTAGAGGGGTGGGATACTCTGATTAGTTTTTTCATCTTCTGGCGTTTGCAAGGTTACGGTGATTTTCCCACCGTTGCTGAGTTCCTGTATTTTTTTAGCATCGACTTCGATATGCCCCTATATGCAAACGTAAAGGAATAATGGCTCTTGGGGATTCCTTGTTAGCCTCGGGGATTCTATGCTTAGTAGTTTTTATGCAGTCTTAACCGTGTTTGTATTGTGCAGATGGTCCTGGTCTGACCCCAGACGAGCTTAGTAGGGTTCATCGGCTTGCTCTCACCAAGGCAGCTCCCTTCTTCTCGCTTGTCACAACTCTGAATCTCTTCTAGTTTGGGACTGGTCCTAACCCAACTGTCCTTCCAATTGCTATTTCTGATCCTCCCCTCTTCATCCTCAATGTAAACTCTTCTCCAAGCAAGTCATATGAGGCTATTGCCACCTCCTCATAGAAGCACCAATGAGGCATCCTATCGCCGCGATCATTAGATTCCTCCTTCAGTGAGATGGGGCTTACAGCTATTGAGTTGGAGTTTTTGACGGGGAAGGCAAGGCTCGAGAAATAGCTTTCTAAGGTTAAGAAAGAGTGAGACGAGCTGAGGGTTGAGAATGTCCGTCTGATGAAGGAGATTTCAGTTCTGGAACGAAATGCCGAGGGGCTTAAATTTTTTCTTATTTTGTACTCCTCTTCCATTGTAACTACTTTGCTAATGAATACAAATTGTCTCTTTCCTTTCATTGCCTGGATTTTACTTTGTTGATTCTAATTGTCTGGCTTTGAGCTTTTTTGGAAACTTTCGCATAAAAAGTTCTTTTCTGAGCTAAAAAGCTTTTAGGCTAAAAACCCTAGTCGAGTTTGCACGGCTAAAGAGCTCACAACTTTCGAGCTAAAAATCCCTCTTTCAAGCTTGAAAAAGCTCTTAGGTTGAAGAGTCTAGTCGCATTTGCGCTGTTGAAGAGCTCGTGGCTTTCCAAGCTAAAAAATCCTCTTCTAAGCTTGAAAAAGCTCTTAGGCTGAAAAGCCTAGTCGAATTTGCGTGTCTGAATTAGCTCGCGACTTTTTGAGATGAAAAGCTTTCTTCTGAGCTTGAAAAATCTCTTAAACTGAAAAGCTTAGTCGAGTTTTCGTGGCTGAAGAGCTCACGGCTTTCCGAGTTGAAAAACTTTCTTTCGAGCATGAAAAAGCTCTTAGGCTGAAGAGCCTAATCGAATTTGTGAGGCTAAAGAGCTTGCGCCTTTCTAAGCTAAAAATATCTCTTCCGAGCTTGAAAAAGCTCTTAGATTGAAGAGCCTATTCGAATTTACACAGTTGAAGAGTTGGCAGCTTTTCAAGTTGAAAAGCTCTCTTTCAAGCTTGAAAAAGCTCTTAGGCTAAAAAGCCTAGTTGATTTCGCGCCGCTGAAGAACTCGCGGCTTTTAGAGAATTGTTGGATTCATACTGTGCAAATTTTTCTTGGCTAGAACTTTGGAAAATTTCATTGATTTGAAGACTGCAAATTTACAACTGATGTGGATTCCAAGGGTCCTACTAGTAGTAACGCTTTAGATGATCCGCGTTCCCAGGATGTTGCAAGTCTTTTCCTTCCTCGGTCTGCAACTCATAATTACCAGTACGGACCACTCTCTTTACGACCTAGGGTCCTTCCCAATTCGAGCCAAGTTTCCCATGTGATGGATCTTTTCTCACTGGGAGCAGTTTTTTTAGGACCAGGTCGTCTGGGTTGAAGCTTCTCTTCCTTACTCGCATGTTGTAGTATCTAGGGGTGTTTCTTTGGTAAAAAAATATCCGTTGTAATGCTTCATGTCTCTTCTCGTCCAGGAGGTCAAGATTGACAAGCAGTGATCTCTCATTCTGCTCAGGATCAAAGAGTTCTGTTCTTGCTGAAGGCAACCCAACTTCAATTGGCGTCATGGCTTCGGTTTCATAAGCAAGGCTGAATGGGGTCTCCCCCACAGCTGTTCGCACTGTCATCCGATAAGCCCATAACATGGTAGAGAGATGATTGACCCATTGTGACTTAGAGGCTTCCAACTTTGTCTTCAATGCCAGTTTGATGGTTCGGATGGTAATTTTTGCATGCCCATTGGATTGCGGGTGTGCAAGTGCCGAGCAATAGTTTTTGATTCCTAACTCTGCACAAAACCCCGTGAACCCCAGGTTGTCGAACTGCTTTTTGTTATCTAAAACTACAACTCTGGGAATGCCGAAGCGATAGATTATCGACTTTCAGACAAAGTTTCTAAACTTTATGCTTAGTCATCTTTGTTAATGTTTCAGCTTCTGCCCACTTTGTAAAGTAGTCTACTGCGACTATGGCAAATTTGTATTGTCTGATGTCCAGCCCCCACTACTGGAAGGGTCAAGGACTGGCAACAGGTGTGAGTTGCTCCAGGGGACGATGTGGTAGGTTTTTGTGAACATGGCATGTCTGGCACTTCTTCACCACTTCCTTCGCATCTTTGGCTGTTGTGGGTCAAAAGTATCCCTACCTAAGTACTTTGGCGGCCAGGGTCCGAGCTCCAATGTGTTTCCACATATGCTCCTATGGATTTCCCTCATGATGTAATCTGCCTTCATTTTTGAAACACATCTCATTAGTGGAAAGGAAAAACCTCTTTTATATAACTTACCTTGCACAACAGTGAATCTCACGGCTTTGTTTTTCAACTTTGCTGCTTCTTTTTTGTCATTTAGGAAGAAACCATCCTGTAGGTAGGATATGATGGGATCCATCCACGAAATGGTTTCCTCAACTGGCATGGCTTGGTCTTCATTAGGTTGGACACTAGGTTCAAGTAAAATCTCAACAGGAGTTGTACCAGATAGGTCGTGCTGAGCAACTGAAGCCAACTTGACCAATGCATCAGCTCGAGAATTTGCTTCTCTTGGCACCTGGACAAGCTCGGCTATAACAAATTTCCTTAACAAACTTCACACTTTCCTTACATCTAGAGTCATTTTGTCATCCCGAGCTGCATACTCTTCTTCCACTTGTCTAACCACCAACTGTAAGTCGATGTGGATAGTGATCTGTTGCGCCTCCATAGACAACACGTTCGTCAAAGGCTCCAGAAGTTGTCCCCTAGATACGTGGCACGATGTGAGACATTTAGAGTCTGGTGAATACTGAGCTTCTTGCTCTCGGACTGCTTACTGCTGAACTTGATATGACCGAGTAAGATTGTGACTAACTGGACTCTTTACTGGGCTCCCTTCTTTGAATTATGACTCATTTCTTATTGCAGTACCGATGGGTTGTAAAGGGGTCTCTTGGGTCGTTATGTAACTGTTGAGTCTGTTAGATGTTTTGGGTTTTGGATAGGTAGCCCACTCCAAAATCCTACAATTATTATAATTAATCTTTTTTTAAAATTACACACACAAATACCCGGTGTAAGCTCCCTAGTGATGCACAAAAAAGAGGAAGACATACCTGGGCATTTTGGTAATAACACTTATTTCCCAAAAATAGAGAAACATCGACGCTTTTCGAGCCAGCGCAGGTACTGCAAAATTCATTGGATTCAGTATAGAGTTTCATCCACACCGTTGATCGATTGTAAATCCCATAGTGTATATTAATCCACGATTCCTGTCCATCAGCCTTTGATTAACCAGACTCCTTATGGCTCATAACACTTCCACGATCACTACTTTGTTACCGTTGGATTTAACACAATCTAACGGCTGTAGTAATCTCTCCACTCTCGTACTCTTTCTTTACTCCCACTCTTGACTTTAATATCCCGCTCTTTTTCCCCTTCTCTGACAGAGAAATCTTCCCTACTTTCCATCTCTCTCGTCTGTCTACTTTCTCTCTCTTCTTTGTGTGTCTTGTGCTAGGGAAATGCAAGAGCAAGCAACGACTTCCGTGGCAACCAGCTCTCTGCCTTCAAGCAGCGAAAGATCTTCCAGCTCCGCTCTTCAAATAGAGATCAAGGAAGGTAATTTTTCTCTCTCATCTTGCTCAGGTTTTCTTCTGAAACTTGAATTTTTTTATATTAATTCCACTATTAATCATTTCGCTTTCAAGACTTGAGCAAATCAATCGAATTGTCCAGAAACATTAATTCTCATATGGACTTGTATTTGTACGTGTATGGTTATATTCATATGCTTAATAGTATCGGATTTTTCAAAGAATTTAGAAATTTCTCATGTTGATTTTGAATAGTTTGAGATTTTTCTATCTTGGAATTTTGGAATTTCTCGGTAAAGTTAATTCCCACTAAACGATCTCGTGATGTGCTCCAATTGATGTTTTTCTGTTGTTGTCTTTTATGTAGGGATGGAGAGTGATGACGAGATCAGAAGAGTGCCAGAGATTGGGGGAGAAGCCGCTGGCGCGTCAGCTTCCGGCCGAAATGGCGGTTCAGTGGTCGGTCGGGCCCGGGTTCAGCCCTCAGCGGAGGGTACTAGGAAGAGAGTTAGAAGCCCGGCTGACAAAGAAAACAAGCGATTGAAGAGGTAAATTTGGCTTTTATTTAATTACCAGGTGAAGAATCAGCAAAGAAAATTACCAGATAAAGATAAAAGAAGAGGTAATTTACCTGCAGTACGGTTGTCAGGACTGACCTACCAGATCATGCCACGTCAATATTTGCGCCACTTGGTGGGGACCACCAACATGGCACGATGAAGGTGGAGTAGTGGATATAGGCAATTTTGTCTAGGCACAATTTGTAACGTCAAATTAACGAATTTGAATCGAGATTTAATAGGTTTGAATATGGTTCTTGTTAGTTTGCCAGTTTGGTGGTAAATGGGTAAATCTGACTCGTCTAAATGGTATCAACCCATTAAACACGACTTATACAACTTACGAACTCAATCAAATATGAATTTAATTATACCCGATTACAAATAAATTGTGAATGAGTTAACTAAATTTTGATACGGGGTATTGGCACACATACCTGTGTGAAATTCGGTAGTAGCATTTTGGTAATTTTTTGTGTTCTCCTGGCATAAAACGTGGGAATAGGTTATTGAGGAACAGAGTTTCAGCACAACAAGCAAGGGAGAGGAAGAAGGCGTATTTGATCGAGTTGGAGGCGAGGGTTAAAGACTTGGAAACGAAGAACTCAGAGCTTGAAGAGAGGCTGTCCACCTTGCAAAATGAAAACCAGATGCTTAGACATGTATGTATTGTCGACCCTTTCCTATGCTTTTATTTTCTCATGCACATCACTATCATGACATGACATTATTTCTTCTCTGACCATCATCATATCATCATCAGTATGGAACAAATGTTTTTTCAGATGTCATTTTAGGGAGATTTTACCATTCCAATGCATATTGGGAGAATTATTCCCAAACAATTCTAGTCTTTACCTTATTATTCAAACCTAGACTGTTTTTAAAAACTTTAGTTTAACGGAGACTTTTAATGAAAAAAAATCAATTTGACTAGCACATTTACATGAATAATGTGTTGAAAGAAAGACCAAAATTACAATCGCACAAGAAGTCAGTTTTTAGACAACATTTTGGGATTTTAGAACATCTCAATTGGGCTGACTTTTTTTCAATAGAAACATCAACCCAACTGACCATTTTATAAACAACTTGGGTTTGAAAAATAGTTTCAAAACCACCCCATTTGGGGATTAATTTTGCTTAACCACGTTAGGTGTCTACTTTTTTACAAAGGTATTTTGGGTGTATGAATTCATTTGAGAATTTTTTTT